GGAGGTCATAGGGTGAAGGGAAAGGGAGGGCGTGGGGAGAAGGGAAGGGGGAGGGCGTGGGGAGGAGGGAAGGGGGAGGTCATAGGGTGAAGGGAAAGGGAGGGCGTGGGGAGAAGGGAAGGGGGAGGTCATAGGGTGAAGGGAAAGGGGAGGGCGTGGGGAGAAGGGAAGGGGGAGGTCATAGGGTGAAGGGAAAGGGGGGCCATGGGGTCTCGCACACCTGGCCTAGATTCGGCGGGAGTGACCTCGATTCCCGCTGCAATCACATCAAACAAGTAAGGCATCGATTGTTCCCGTTCATTTTTATATCAGAGAGGTACTTATTTCACTTCTGAATTCTTGGATTCGCGGTATATTAGTGTGTGAACGCTCAGGGCAACTGAGTCATGGTGGACATTTATTTTATTCTCAATACGAGCCGCGTGATTGTTGGTCTCGTCGTGTATGTTAAGGCATTACCAGTTCTCGCGTGGACTGAATATATTCAACTTTGCGTGTCTGTTTACCACTTATATCTAATGCCCCTCCAGTACCATATATGATCCAGCGGCCTTGAACCCCGGTCGTCTCATAATACCTTTTTTAAAAAATCAAAAGGTATCTGGTACATGCAAAATTCTAAGACTGCCTTGCAGCATGATATACCCAGCCTCCTTCAGACGCCCCTGGATACTGCCGTACAGTATTCGGTTATACTCACAAGAAGCATCCTACAAAAGCATGTATGCATCCTTGGCTAACGTGCCAACCCTGCTCACGGACCGTCATTTACCACTTTGGGTGGAATTAATGTGATGATCTTACCGAACCCCGTCCTATCCCGCAGTATAGATATTACATTAGAATTAAGGAGTTACACTAGTCCTAACCACAAAGAGTTTTCTCTCTTTGATCGCAGCTGAATTTGATACGTCTTGTGATTTTTCCCAATCTTTATGAAGATATAATCTAAAATAAGGCAAAATATCTAGATGTAAGTTCCTTTGGAATATGGTGTTGGTTAACAAATAAAGGTTTGGTTGTGCCATTTTTTTCATTATCTTTCCTTAAAAATGCAGCAAAGAAAAGGAGAGTTTTATCAGGAACGGAAGAAATTTACCCAGCGGCTGAATAAGCAAGCACTCGGACCAAAGTACCATCTTGACTTTATGGCTCTGCAAACAGGATGAAGAGCCATTTGCCGCGCCGCCGAGTGTGAGAAGCAGGCCCGGCGAGGCTTCATGAGGACATGCCTCTCGCGGTTCCTCCCCGACCCGGAGGCCTTCCAGCTCGTTAGTGGCTTCGTTTGATGTGTGACACGGGCGTAAATTCTGGATCGCCCTCTTGCCAAGTTGGTTCAATAAACTCATATAACTTTCTCTTTGACTTGCTCTCTCTCTCTCTCTATCTATCTATCTATATATATATTCTCTCTCTCTAGCTATCTATCGCTATCTTTCTATCTATCTATCTATATTCTATNAAGTGGGTACGTCCCCTCACATAATTATTATCCCTTTAAATAAGGCCGAGTCGCTCCCCCGACGATGCCTAAGCGCCTCGCGACCGACTCCACTCGTTTTCATTGTATTTCATACCATTTCTCTTTAAGCTTTTGGAAACGACGCGCGACTACGCTTCCGCCATCTTTTAGCGTTATGGAGGTTCGTAAGAGAGAACAGTAGATAGTTCTGTCATGCAGTCGCGGCGATCGGTGAACCCAACAAACAACATTTAGGTACGAATACGGAACGTCGAGGGTGAAATCGTTGTGATCCATCAACCTTCCATGCTACCTCTGCTCCTGACCAATGAAAACCTCCCTTGCCCTGCCTACGGAGTTTCTGATTGGCCAGTCTTGGAGATTCCTCCTATGGGAGAGGGTTAAAGAAGGGCCAAGGTGAGTCTGAAAAGTCGAAGTTGAATTTCCGTCCCGGGAAGGAACACCATTTTTCGCTGAATAAGTCGATACTACTGGAAACTTTGCACAAAACAACTGCAAGAATAATGTGTCACAAATAGTACTTACACCAAACCCCAACTTGACTGCCCATTAGATTTTCATTGTAAGTAAACAAGCCGACAAAGTCGAGAGTTCGAACAAAGAGATTACACCAGACAAAAACTCAAGAGTCCTGGCAGCGTTCGTCTGCTGCGGTTTTTCTCCTCTGTGTTTGTTCATTTGTGAATCCAGAGCATTTGCGAACTTTTCTTCTTGCGGGGACTTGCGTAAATATTGTTAACCAGTATCGGTCGAAAGAGATCAGGGTCGCTCGTCGTTCCGTGTGTCATTTGCAAGGAAATTCCGCCTCTGCTGTTGGCGGGAAGAACAAACAAGCAGCGGGTTCCCGAGGCGACTCTCCCTCACACGGCCTTTGTCCCGATGTTTTGAGTCCAACCGCGGCTGCTGTTGCTGAGAACTTAGCTTGCTTCTTCTTTGCCGAAAATAATCTTGAGAGTTTTCTTATTTGCCTCTTTTCCGCAGACGAGAGAAAGAAGAGGAAGAATACGCAAGTCTGTGATAGACCTGGAAGTATAATTACGAAAGTCGTGGCATGCATAGACCGAAAACTTGATGCAAGGCAAGATTAATTACCTGGAGCTTAGCGAAGTCTATAAGCTGGCATATTAAAGTTTCTATCAGACGTGGCGGGCCGATGGGGTCACCAATCTGGGCGTGGCAGATTCATTGCCTTGGAAGTAAGCTAGGCTACTGCCTCGGACGTGCAAGGAGCCAGCGCTCAGTGCATACCAAGTTCAAGAAAAGTACAATAGGGTCGTGAGACTAGCCTCGTAAGAGGTATGTCAGATGGGGTTCCTACCTTTAACAAGTATAACCCTAGTCGGTGTGATGCCTGAATACCTTTTATCTCCGTCGTATCCTACATATTCCTGTTGCAACCAGGTCTGAGGACACCGGCAGAGCGCAGGATCAAGTAGAACCCAACTTGCGCAACAAAGAAAGCTAGCAGACGCGTAAGAGAGCTTAGATAATGACCTGGGAAACTCACTTATTCGCCCACACGCTGTCTGCTCACGTCGTAGGTTTTGTTGCTTGAAATTACTCCTACTCGGTTAGGATTCTCTCGGCGACGACCGAAACATTCATCAGCTGATTCTATGACCTTGACCAGCCGGGCGTGATGTCAGACCATGCACGAAGTACTTTTAGGGTCTATTGGTACTCAAAGGGACTATGATTATCAAATGTTTAGGGTGTACTATTATCTGTTACTTGGGTTGGACGTAAAATGTACAAATGCCGGATATCCTAGACTTTTGGTGTGGCCCTCGATTGATTGCCGACATATTTTACCTGTCTTTGGTACCACTCCATAGTCGGCTGGGGTCTTACACGTATTTAAAGGTCTAGCAGAGTGCCACGTTTCGAGTGGCTCTGTCTCGAGTACAAGTGGGTCTTGGCACAAGTGCTGCGTAATGGCGTACCAAGTTCTTTAACAGCATCTCGGTGTTTGTACAGTCCCTAGTACGTCCGGTAGCG